CATTTTTCATCAAAAATTTGACTTTTATGCTGTTTGATTGATATTTTTTTCATGAAAAATATTTTTCTACTATTTTGGTCACATAACCATATTTTCTTTGAAAATAAGGAAATATTTTTTAGAGAGAGTATGCTTTTATTTTTCAGATAATTCACTCTCTTTTTCTCTCATTTATCCTCTTCTCATCTACCTACCAATAAAAAATAAATAAGTATAGCATTTTCTAGATTGAAAATAGAAGCGAAACACATTTAATTGACAATTTTCATGTAAATAACTTCTAGACAATTCAATTGCTTATAATTTATTTTCTTTCTATGTAAATTTTATACTCACAATTAAACATAACCTAAATTCTCTTGGATCATTTTATATTTTTTAAAATTTCGTTTAACTCAAACTCTAATAATTATAGAATATCATATTAAACTAAAATCAAAACTAAAAGCGTTTGGTCAAAACTAAAACTAGAAAGCTCTTAAATGATAGGGAGAGGTGCATTTCACTTTCTGATATCCTTTAATGCATGGAATACTCTAAATTTCACCATCTTTTCACATTCACGTTGAAATCAAACAATTCCATCAAATCTTTAAGCCATTATCTCCCAAATAAGGAATAGAAAATATGAAGTAGAAACTCATTGAATTTTGTGAGAACCCGATTTAGAAACTCAATAAATTTTATGTCACGCCTCTTTGAACAAATTCGTGAATCTAGAAAGACTAACAAAATATACGTGAATATGTTTGAAATATTTCAATACTAATTACTTCAATAGACAAAGAATTTAGTAAAAAATAAAAGAGACACTGTTAGAGCAAATGTTACAAAAAATTATTAATTTGAATACAATTTGTACAGTCTTTGAATTAATATATATTGGAATTACACAGGAGAATACCATATTGATGTTATATGTAACGCGGATGAATATAATAATTTTTTAAAATTATATTAGGAATAATATTGGAATATGATGTGGATTGAATAGTAATTTTTTCAAATTTTAGTAGTCATCGATATTATGCGGGATGAATATATAACAATCATGAATGTAAAAAGTTGTTCTCAAAATAAATTAAAGTAAAGAGAATCAAACATGGGACTGAATGAGTTCTTAATTATTACAAAATGAAAATATAATTCCAAGATTCTGATGGTAAAATTCATTTATTCCAAAATTCGACCTTATCTAAATATGTGACCATAAGCGATCGCCTTATTTGTTTAGAGATTGAACTAAATCTATACGTATTAGTAGTAGTAAAAGTAAAAGTAGCTAGCGAAAGTGTTATATATCTATTTAAATGTGTGCACTTGTATTATAATATCCTCCGTTAATATGAAGCTTATAAAATTACCTCATTGTTTGGAGTTGAGATTTATCCATCTAATTAATTCTTAACACGTTATCAATTTTTAGTTGTTTAACATTGAAATTAATTAGGATAAATTTGAAATAACACATTAATTATTGATGACATATCAAGAATTAATTCGATGAACAGCAAAATAGACAGTGGATCTTGACTCCCTTATTTGAGCCTCATTTTTGGGGAAAGTGTATTTTGAAATAACGATTTTTTGGAGAATGTGTTGTTAAAAAATAAAGAAAAATTTTAAGTTTATGTGTAAAATTGTGTTATCGGAGAATGTGTGATTGAAAATTAGTTTTGAAAAAATGGGCTTAAAAAAAATTAAAAAAAATTGAAGGCCAAGCATACTCAATGTGACATTAGTAATTAAAAATTAATTCATTAATATTTGAAAATGGGGATGTAAATGAGTTTAGAATAAATGAATTTAGGGTACGTTTGATTGTTAATATTTTTCCATGAAAAATGTGTTTTTCATTTAAATTTTTACTTTTATATTGTTTGATTGATATTTTTTCCATGAAAATCGTTTTTCTACATTTGATCTTGTGATCATATTTTCCTCAAAATTAAGGAATATATTTTCTTTCGAGGGATTAGGATTTTATTTTTCAAGAAATCCACTCTATCTTTTTTTCTCTCATCTATCCACAAATAGAAATGAACAAATATGATATTTTTTAGGTTGAAAACTAAATCAATCAAATACGTTTAATTAATAATTTTCAAACAAATAAATTCTAGGTAATTCAATTACTTAGAATTTATTTTCTTTCAATGCAAATTTCATACTTGCAATCAAACGCACCCTTAGATATGGAGATATATTTGATTTCCGTTGTTTTCAAATAACCAGCCCAATAATAGGGTTGGGCTCATGGTCCAATTTGGCTTATTTTAGCCCGTATTATCCATGTCATAATTGGTCTTTGATCCAAATATACATATTAGTATCTATCTTTTTTCTTTAGAAAAAGGAGTTAATTGTTTCAATAATCACCCAATTTATATCATTGTTGCAGTTTACTCACTAAATTTCAAAGTGCTTGCCGAATTTTATCCCTTTGCACTTTATCCATCACCCTAAAAATCCATTACCTTATTCGCTGATGTGGCTCACGAAAATCTGACGTGACAAATTACGACAATTAAAAAATTATAATTCAACAAAACTATTGTTTCATTATTCATCCAACTTATACTTAGTCGTAGTTTACTCGTCTTTGAGATGTTACCTTTCATTTATCATCCGCCATGTTTCATTTCTTTCCTTACTAATGTTAGCATAGAATTCCGCATGGTAAGTGACAAATATTTAAAAAAAATTATAAATCAACAAAATTATCAACTCATCAAAATCACCATTTATGAAACATGACTTCCAAGGTCCCATAAAACTTTTTTTAAAACCCAGTAAAGCGTCTCCAATGATTTTTTTAGAAATATCACTTTTCCAATTCGAGTGTTTACTATATGAAAAATAGGTTTCAATATAAAGCTGAAAATATGAAGCATAACTTATTCGATTGGGAATTAATTTGTGAAAATGCTTTGTCTATACCTCGCCCTTTAACTTCTAGTTGCATATAATTGATTATATGTGATTTCAATCATTTTTTTTTTTTTGTATTTTTGATTGTACTTTGTCTATATTTCACCATTTTCTTGTTCATATATATAGAATTAAGCCATAATTTATTAAAATATCCAACAAATACTCTAATTTAAAGTTCTAAATAAGGGTAACATAATGGACTTATCACTAGATTTTTTAGGGCTGAAATTGGAGATGTTTTATTGGATTTTAAAGAAGTTTATATGGTGTGAAAATCACGTTTCACATATAGTGATTTTTGTGAGTTTTTGTGGTTTGGTTGAGTTGTAATTTTTTTTTTAATAATTGTACTTAACTGTGGAATTTTCGTACAATAAATTAGCAATGAAGTGAACGAAATATGACGGATAATGGATGAGTGACCATTGGGGAGCATTTTTTAATTTGATAAGCAAATTGTGACCTATTGTAAGTTGGATGAGTAATGAAACAATGATTTAACCAAGTTGTAATTTTTTTTAACTTTCGTAACTTGACACGCCATATCAGCAAATAAGGTAACGAATTTTTGAGTACGATGGATGGAGTGCAAGCAAGTAAAGTTTGATGAGCATTGTGAAGCACTTCGAAATTTAGTGAGTAAAGCGTGACCATGGTATAAGTTGGGTGATTATTGAAACAATTAACTCTAGAAAAAGTGACAAGATAAGAGAATGTAGTTGATATTTTTATCAATAGATACATTTGGATGAAGTCGAATGAACGTAAAGATGTGTAACATCCTTGAAAATCTTATTAAATTAAAAAATGAGACTAACTTATAAAAAGAGTCATTCTTTTTTTTTTTTTTTTTATCTATAAATCATAAATGTGAATTATATTGACCAAAATGATTTACAATTACACCGAGCATATCCTTGCTAACATGTCCCATCAAATCCACATACAACTACACCGGGCATTCCCGGCCTAGACGAACAAAATACTAATAAGGAGGCACAACCAATATAGCTAATGACCCATGGCTAATGACTCATGTTGACCTCAAAAAATGTACCTCCAATGTGGCCAACAGATCACAAGACCTCTCACATCCAAGCAAGCTATATTCCTTCACATTAGGACAAACCATTAGCCACACATGACCTTCTCCGGTGGGGGTGAAGGTGGCTGCGCACACTCCGACGATCAAATCAGTTTTGAAAAGAAATATATTAGTGTGGGAAGGTTTTTAATATGAGCCTCTAATATAAAAAATGGGGGTTGGTGAAGTAAATAAAGAATGCAAAGAGCGAAATTATAGTATCAAAGTCTAAACTTATATTATTTTTGGAATGACACAAATTGTAAACTTTTATAGTAGAAGAAGGTGAGTAAGAACCGTTGGATGAAGAGACACGTGGCCTTATCTCGGCGGCTTGGACCTCTTGTCATAGTCATCAATCAGTCAAACTTAGACTCGAATGCATTTAATGGTATGACCATTTGTAATTCTAGACATGACATGTAAGATTAGACTTGACTTGCTGATTGAGTTGAGTTGTATAGACAGTGAGTTGTCACATTGCCTACTTGTTATAAGATCTTGTATGAAGATCTAAGATGCCTCTACCTTTCTTGCCTCACACATGAGGGCTTGGCTCCCCATTAGGGTTCGGCCAATAGGGCTCAACTGTGGGGGCTCTGCCAAATTGTTACGTGTGTAAAATAATATGGAGTTTGGGCCTAAGTTCTCTTGTTGTGCAGCTGTTATTTGGCAATACTTAGGTCTCATTAGAAGAGGTGTAAGAACTTATATTGATCAAACATTCAGATATAAAAAAAAACAAGATTTTATAAACGTGTGTTTTGATTCTTGAAACAATACTATAATGAGCCCAAGCCAACCTGCTCATTTCCCCACGAGCTCTGGACTTTTATCATCACGAGCAGGGCCTATAAACCTTACACGACTTGACCCGTTGGTCGATGAATCAAGCCGAACATTGCCAACCTATAAGTAGGATATGATATTTTGATGGACCCACGATGGGCTGATGGGGTTTATAGTCCAATAAAATGATCTTCAATACAAAATTTACCATTCTGCAATTCCCAAATTATCTCCTTTGCGACCTTATCATTTTCTCCCTCACAAGCTCCTTCATTTCCACTCTAATGGCTACTCCAAGCCTCTCTCTCCATCCCAAAACCCTATCTTCCACCTACAAAACCCTAACAATCCTTAATCTCTCCTGCCCCTTTCCCTCTACCTCCATATCATTCATTCCCTGCACTTCCACGCCCCAAATTCCATCAAGAACTGCCGCTATTCCTGTGTTGAGAGCCATAACTGATGGGGATTACTCTTCCAAAAGAAGCAGCAGCAGTGAGGAAAGGGAAACGATAATGTTACCTGGCTGTGACTATAATCACTGGCTTATTGTTATGGAGTTCCCTAAAGACCCTGCTCCTACTAGAGAGCAAATGATTGAGACTTATCTAAACACTCTTGCCACCGTTCTTGGAAGGTTAGAAGATTTTTTATTTTTATTTTTATTTTTTTATTGTTTAGTTTCATTTTTAGAATTCTGGGAATTTTGTGTTTGTTTATGTTGTTCATTAGGTAGTAGTGGTTAACATTTTCTGCCCTTCCCCCCTTTATGCTGTGTTACAATGTTGAAAACCTTTGGCTGTGTTTTGTGCACCGATTTGACTGTATAAGAAACTTAGTGCAAAATTTTAATGGATAAATATTAAGTAGATGGTATTATGGTGATTGAGGTTGGTAGTATTCTTTGATTTTTCATTCAAATGTATTATTTGCACTATCAATGGTACAACATAAAACGGAACGTGGAGATGGGTTTAGAAAGGATAAAAATGAAATAATACTACCCAACTAAGTTCACCATAATTTAATTCAGTGCGCCAAATGCGACCTTTATGTATTTGGCAAATGATGGAATTGATTTTGCTGCATTAGCCCTTCTGAATGATACTATGATGTGCTTGATTTAAGCTATAATGAAACTGCAGTAATTTGATGCCCATATTGTTTAGATGGAGAAGATATTATTTTTTTGTTGCTAATTGAATCCTGTCTATTACTCTCCAATTGAACACACCCAACTTTTATGAAATGGAGTATCTGGAACCATTTTTTGGAGATTATAATTTGACAAAGGTATGTTGTAGGGATTCATATGATTATATGTCACATATTTGGAGTGTTTTTATTGTGTCAGTATGGAAGAAGCGAAGAAGAATATGTATGCGTTTAGTACGACCACATATACTGGATTTCAATGCACTGTATCTGAAGAGACATCAGAGAAATTCAAAGGTATTTGCATACAAGCATCGACATCCATTTTTACTTTTTATAGAAATTATTTGAGTTACTGGAAATCCAGGTCCTCAACTGACTATTCGAACAATGTTTTCGTATCTGTAGGTTTGCCAGGTGTTTTGTGGGTTCTGCCGGATTCATACATTGATGTTAAGAACAAGGACTATGGAGGTTCTTTACTTAAAAGCAATTTTCGTATCTGTATCTAATCGAAATGTGACTACAGCGATCCATTATATAATATTAACTCTCTCTTTTTTTTTTCTTTTTTTTTTTGTGGGGGGAGTCTAGGAGATAAGTACATTAATGGAGAGATAATTCCTTGCCAATACCCAACTTATCAACCAAAGCAGTCTAGAAGTTCAAAATACAAGAGCAAAGCATACGTGAGACAGAGAGATGGTCCTCCAGCTGAACGAAGAAAACCAAGACAAGAAGCAACTCCTGAATCTTCCTCTTGATGAACGGTCAGTAGGTACGAATTTTTTTCCATGATGGATTCTGTTATTAGCTTCTTATCTCTAATGACTTGAGACAACGTGCAAGCATATAATTTGTTCTTCATTTGATAATACTAAGGTCCTCTTTAGGATATCTTCTACTTCTATTTTTTGTAAAAGAGCTTCCTAGTGAAGCTATCTTAGGCCAACTACCTGTATAAGTTATTCTAACTAGAAAATTATCCAAACAGACCCAAGAGCAGTTTCTTTGATTCAGAAATAACTTTTGACTTTTCAAAAGCTCAGTCTAAAGTGCACTATAAGTGTTGTCTTTTATTTTCTTTTTACTTTGTTTTCTCATTTTTTGCTGCTGTACTTTAATTGATGTCAAGTACTGTTCGCTTCTTTCAATTTTTTGTAGCAGACATGCCATTAGTCAATTTAAATTTTTAATATTGTTGTTGTTGCTTGCTGGTTTGCAGGTGGCGAATTGGTTGCAGAGTTGAATTAGTATTAGTGAAATGCTATTATGTCGTTAATAGTTTTAAAAGGTAGGAGGGTTTTATGGCAATGGGAGGTCCATAGAGGTTACCAAACTCAGCTTATTTCTTAAGCTTTGGTCACCGGTTCTTGTTGTCGATTATTGACATTGAGACCAGTTCATAGTTGTTCTATGTGAGCAACAACAGTCAATGCAGTGTGAGTGTGTAATGGAGAACTGATTTTGTCTCCTTGGTGTTCTATGTTCCGGCAGCTTGAACTTATTTCTCCTGCAACTAGTTCGCTTTATTTACTTGTGAAATGTTATGTAACCAAGTTTTCACTAAGCGGATATAGCCATGTGTGTTTGGTATACAATATGGATATGACTAGGCATTATGAAAAAAGGTTAAAATCTTGTTCACAGTAGTGATGAGTTCCACCTGTCCCATATTGCTGAGCAATTTGAAGTGGGGTTGTGTATTTTTTGCATTTTTTTTTAACCGTTTTGTTGGGAACAGTGGAACAGTCAGGATCATGCTTTGTTGAAGCGAAATTTTTATTCAATACAAAATGGAATGGAAGTATGATAATTTTTTTAGAATTTCCTATTGACAATATATCTAAATAATAGATGTATAACATTTTGCATAGTTTTTATAATAATCGATTTTCCTTTAAAGGTTTTTTTATTAAAAAATAAAAATTCAAATCTGCCCTGATTTCCTGAAGCCCTAAAACCTTGACTGGATAAACCGATGCTATTTCCAAAGTAACCTTTGACCCCCTTTTTGTAATTAAAAAAAAAATCGAATTTAAAGCTTAAAATCCCAAAATACCCCTCACAAAATCGACCCTCACAAAAATCGACTCTCACAAAACTGACTCTCCCAAAACTGAAAATCACAAAACTGGTCGGAGCAAGGTTGATCTATCGCCGATGACATCATGTTAAGGTAAGTTACTGTTGGTTAATTTAATATTTAGATTTTGGAGATTTTTTCAATATTTATTTGTTTATATTAGTAAAATAGGGTTTATATAGTCTAAAAAAATATTGGTTGCTTGAATTTGGAAGCTTTTCTCGCCGGAAATGGTGATTTTCCGGGGAGAAAGCGTGAAGAGCAGCCGGCCAGTTTGGCTGAAACCCGACTGTTAACAGTCGGGTAGCAGTGGTATTGGGCCGACTGTTACTACTGTAGTTGGTGTGGCCCGACTGTTAAAATAGTCGGCCCATTTTTTTTTCAATTTATTTTTTTCACAAATAATTTAATAATTTAATATTAAATTTTTATTATTATTTGGTTTTAATAAATAATAAATTATTTAGTTTGTCAAATTTAGATAAAATTGTTACGACTAAATTTAAATAAAATTTTTACATTTAATTTTTGTTTTAATATTTATTTTTATTTTTCATTTTTGGTACATGATAATTTGAAATAATTGTTGGAAATTTAATTTGAAATTTAATATTTATTTTTATTTTTATTATTAGTTTTTGATAAATAATATTACTTTTTTTTTTGCCCAATTTTTTTTTTCACAAATAATTTAATAATTTAATTTTAAAAATTTTGTATTATTTGGTTTTAATAAATAATAAATTATTTAGTTTTTCGAATTTAAATAAAATTGTTATGACTAAATTTAACTAAAATTTTTACATTTAATTTTTGTTTTAATATTTATTTTTATTTTTTCATTTTTGGTAAATAATAATTTGAAATAACTGTTGAGAAATTTTTAATTGTAATTTGAAATAATTGTTGGAAATTTAATTTGAAATTTAATATTTATATTTATTTTTATTATTAGTTTTGATAATTAATATTACTTTTTTTTCCAATTTATTTTTTTCACAAATAATTTAATAATTTAATTTTAAATTTTTTTATTATTTGGTTTTAATAAATAATAAATTATTTAGTTTGTCGAATTTAGATAAAATTGCTACGACTAAATTTAAATAAAATCTTTACATTTAATTTTTGTTTTAATATTTATTTTTTTCATTTTTGGTAAATAATAATTTGAAATAATTGTTGGGAAATTTGTAATTGTGATTTGAAATAATTGTTGGAAATTTAATTTGAAATTTAATATTTATTTTTATTTTGTGATAATTGGGAAAAATTAATAATAGGATAATTGGGAAAAATTGACATTATTGATAATAGGATAAAAAAATTCACATTATTGATGGTTTTAATTATTATGAATCTACCTTTTGCGTATTGTAGTTACAATTTCGTTCGCTAAATTTTCTGTTATCATAATTTGTACAATGTTATAACATTTTGAATTTGTACAGGATAGATTATCATCTTGACGCAGAGTTGAGACAAATACCAGGCAAAGCTACATGGAATAGTAGCTTTGATAGTTTCACAGCTGTGTTAGAGCTGCATGATGATCAGCATGCTGATATGCTGCGTCAGTCCTTCCTGTGGCCTTTGTACCCCTTGAGAGATCTGCAGTACTCGGGTCAGATTATTGATGCACTTCTATGTCGATTGCTGAGTCCAGTCAATAGCGCTGCCCTCCACTTTGCAATCGGGGGTAAAATCGCCAGTTTTTCGATGTTTGAGTTTGCTCTGATCACGGGATTAAAGATCACGGGCAATGAAGCAGTTGGTGATGGGACTCAGAGAAGAAATAGGCTTCTTGACGCTTACTTCGAGGGACAGGGTACTGTGCTCCTTACACGGCTGTTGGACGCAGTCAGGAGGTGTGATCAGATGTTAGGCAGACTGAAGTTAGGTCTGGTCTACATCCTTGAGAGCGTGGTGCGGTGTCACCATAAAAAGACTGCGAGTTACGACATCGATCATTTCAACGACTATCCGTGAGGTCGGAAATGTTTTGAGGACACTATACACGTCTTCACCAGATCGCACTCGAAGCCGAAGGGAGCCATGCATAAGTACGACACCTATGGATTGCCCCTGGCGGTGCAGGTAAATGGTTAACATAATGATTGTTAAAATTATTTTCATAATTAATTTTATATATAATAACTATATGTGTTGCAGATCTGGGCGTATGAGGCCATCTCCATATTGGGTGCCCGATTTGCAAGGCGAGGAGACATGCTGCTCTCAAATGCACCATTGGAGAGCATCTCGATCGGAGGGATGTCCCACTGGGAAACAGTTATCGGCTATCCTGGATGACCCTCAGGTGAGTATTATGCATTTGTAATTTATATTGTGCGTGATTTAACATCTGATTGCATGATCGTTAACTAGTTCAAATATTAATATGTCAGCTTGAAGTCATAACTAAGTTGACCCCGTCGATGGAGGAGGAGGCTCAGGGTTTTGTGCGTGAATTAGGCGTTTCGCACACCGAAGACAACAATATGTCCGGTCCGATCCACGATCGAGATTCGGTGAACGAATTAAATAAAATCTATTGATGAAGTTAATAATTTGTAATGTTGTTGCTTGTGTAGAAGCGTGATCCAGTTGATCGACGATCACCTCCGTCGAGGGCATCACCACCTCCGTCGAGAGCATCTCCTCCTCCGCCGAAGATGTCGCCAACAGCATCTCCTCCTGTACGTAGTCAGCGGCACTATTTTGATGATCTGTGCGCCCGTCTGAGCAGATTTATAGAGGGACAGGTCAATGGGCTACGTCGAGAGATAATAGAAAGGGTTGATGATCTGGGACGACAGTTAGTAGGAAGGGCCGAAGGTTTGTCGAATGAGATTGCAGCACTTCGGGGTGATATAGCCGGTAGGCGATGGGTTGACGGAGACGGTGATCGAGGGGGTGATCGAGATGGTGATAGGGATGGGGGTGATAGAGATGGGGGTCTCCGGCAGTCATACATACATGATGACGATGCATGGGAATCGTTTATTTTATCCGTGGAGCGCGATGGGATGGGAGTAGTGACAGAGGATGGGGGCCCGTCGGGAAGGGAGACGGAGGCAGATGAGGGAGTGGCCTCGTCGAGGATGGAGATTGTGGCAGATGTGGGAGTGACTCCGTCAGGGACGGAGACGGAGGTAGATGTTGGAGTGACAGATGAGGGAGTGGCCCCGTCGAAGATCGTGGTAGATGAGGGGATGGAGGAGGTGACAATGTATCAAGCAAAAAAGTGTGTTGTTGACATGCCGAAAACGGTGATCGATAAGAGGCCGAGAGTGCCATCACAGTACATCGTCTCTCCCTTCACGGCTGAGGCGAAGAGGTGGAGGTTCGTTGATGGGACGTACCCCAATCTATTCTGGGAGGTCGACCATGCGAAGTGGAAAGCATTCAAGACTGAGAGGCGAAGAATGTTGCCCGGGTAAGTATTGTATGATTTAGTAGACTAGAATTACTCGTATATGCTTTGTTTAACGTTTTTTCTATTTTATTTCCAGAGCCACGCACATGATAGCCGGAAAGACGATATTGGACGCATACAAGTGGTTCCATGATATCACCACTCAGAGGGCTTGGCTCGCCGACGATGTAAGTGAAGTGTTAATGTTACTTTTTGTATACGTTATGTTTAATTTGGTAAATGAAATAAGTATTTATGTCTTTGTTTTCCTTGATGTAGCACATCAACATGGCCATGGACTTGTTGCGCGATCGAGTTGAGAGATATCCACAATCATTCCACAAGCCTGGCCACATCATACTGAACATCGAGTTCTTTCGTGCCGTTACCATTGAGTATCAGTCCCTCCAACTTCTAAGTAACGAGTACGTGCTTCCCACGTATAAGCTCGAGTTGGTCATCGGGCTGTCACCGAGTGTTGGGGGAAAGCCATAGGAGGGTTGTACGCATTTGTACATTCCAGATATCGCGAATCAGCACTGTATTGCACTGAAAATCGTGTTCACTGATTCGACGATATATGTCGACCCCGATCATTTATGTCTGACACAGGGACAGCTCGAGCAGATCTTAGAGCCGATGACTGTGATCGTTCTTATGATGGCTAGACATGCGGGCTTGACTGTGGATGACAAACTAGCCATTGTGCGGGACACGACGACGACGAGACAGTTTATATCATAAGTCTTTGTAATTTTTTTTAATTTAGTAATCAGTTCATACGTAATTGGAACCGAACTAACACATATTTGTTCATTTGCAGGGGCGATTGTGGAATTTTCGCAATCAAATACATAGAATTTTTGAGTATAGCACATAAGGTTGATGGAATCAACCAGTCATGGATACAGAATAGACGAAATAAATTAGCATGTGATTTATACGAATTTAATTGTGATCCATAAATTATTTGTAAATATTTTTTGTACTTAATATTTGTAATTATTTTTTTATTATTCATGTAAATACTGTTTATTTCAATGTAAATATTATTCATTTCAATGTAAATACTTTTCATTTCAATGGAAATACAC